ATTATCCATCACAACTCGTCTCCTTATAGGCCTAAAATGAATGGGGTTGTTGAAGCTGCTAATATGAATATTAAGAAGATTATCCAAAAGAGGGTTATTACCTATAAGAATTGGCATGAGATGCTTCCTTTTGCCTTGAATGGGTATCGTACATCTATCCGTACTTCAACAGGGCCAACCCATTTCTCTCTTGTGTATGGCATGGAAGCAGTGCTCCCTATTAAGGTGGAAATTCCCTCTTTGTGTGTGATCATGGAAACAAAGTTGTCAGAGGCTGAATGGGTCCAGAGCGGGTTTGACCAATTGAATTTGATTGAAGAAAAGAGGATGAAGGACTTGTGTCATGGTCAGTTATACAAGAAAAGAATGAACAAAGCTTTTGATAAGAAGGTCAAGCCTCGTTAATTTAGAGAAGGTAACCTCGTGCTCAGGAAGATCATATCTTTTAACGCTGATTCTAGGGGAAAGTGGACTCCCAATTATGAAGGCCCATATGTTGTCAAGAAAGTCTTCTCTGGCGGTGCATTGATTCTTGAAACTATGGATGACGAGGAGTTCCCATGTTCCGTGAATGCTGATGCAGTCAAGAAATACTTTTCCTAAAAGAAATAAAAGAATAGCTTGCTAAGTTGAAAACCCGAAAGGGAGGCTTAGGAAAAAATGAGCGTCTCGGTAGGCTGAAAACCAGAAAGGGCGGTCTAGGAAAAAGTTAAATACAATAACAAAATAAGTTTTCCTGGTAGGTTGAAAACCCGCAAGGGCAACCTAGGCAAAATTTAGGGATTTCTTAACAAGTAACTACGTCGGACAAGACTTGATCATTGAAGCAACAATCTTCTTGGATTCTCATTGCACTTCGACTGAATCCTACACACAGGAGATCAAAGTTGTTAGAAAGAATAGTGGTCATTGTGTTTCAATGTATCTTTTCCATGTATTTACCATTTTCCAAAACTTTGTAATCATCTATGGGGTCACGCCATTTGCGGACTACCATTCTATTAATAAAGTTTGAGCCTTTATCCAATTATTTGCAGTTCTTATTTTATTATGTCTACAAAGTTTTCATTTATTACTGATAGTAATTTTCAAAACAAAAGACTTAATAATAAAAACATGTTTTTGAAATAATTTGCAAGTACTTTTTACTTTGATTTCGTAAATCAAGAGGACAAAAGTAGTGGTTTCAAGGATGGATGAACTTTGAAGTCTTGACAAGTTTCCTCCAAGAAGCATTCTCGGGTTACTATTGTTGATCTGCGCATAGTCTCCTTGCATTTGTTCTTTGGATAGTTGGATTTTTCCAAGTTTTTATATGGTGTTGATTTGTGTGGTTTAATACCTCTATCCCATATGCCCCAGTTAAGTCTTGATTCGGGTTTCTCCAGCTGAGTTATGATTCCCCTTTCTAGTAGAGTTACGATCAAGAAGGGATTATAAAGTTGTGTAGCATCTGCTCGATTGATTAGATGCTTTCTCCCTTTGTGTTGAGAATTGATGTATAATATTTTGCAGAGCATTGCTCCCTCCAGTTATGACCTTGCTATTGTTATGTACTCTTCGAGCAGTTGTACAAGAGCATAATCTTTTTTGAGAAGCTTTGAAATACTTGTCAACTTTTTGGGTTTTCTCTCACCAAGTGTTGAGTTTGATTTAAAATCCCCATAACTTTGACTTTTTGCTATGGTGTTAACTTATCAATTCCCCATATGAATCAAGGATGATTTTTTTCCTTTAAGGTTGTTATCCCCACGAAGTTCCTTTGATCTTCCCAGATAGATTTAGACAACTTCTTTTCCTTGGATTTAAATGTTTATAGTATCCACTCGGCGAAGTGACTTCGTCTTCCCTATTAAAGTTGGTGTTCTCAATTGAATTCTAAATGGTGCCTCTTTGTCTTCCTCAGTGAAGTTTGTATGATATTCCCCGGTGAAGCCTGGAGAAGTTTGTTATATCCCTGTAGCTTTACAGTTCATTGCTACCAGTTTGTGCTTTGATTGTTTTTCAGCAACATTTCCTTTCCCGTTGAGGTTAAGCCTTGAAGTAGGATGTTGTTTCATCAGTTGGTGCTTACTCTCTTACAAAATTTCCATCTTGGATGTGATTTAAGCCGAGTGCGGTCTTTACCCAAGTTTGTTTTATCTGGTTATGCCCAGTGTAGTACGTCTGTTTTGTCAGCATATACACGACATACATTCATACATTCATACATACATACACACATGCATAGAGGAACTAAAATTCATTGCTCATTTATATTTCTTGATGTTTCTGTTGATATTTTATCCTCTTTGCAGAGTTGTGTTACCCTCTCTCCAATAGATTGTCAGCCTTTAAGAAGAAAGTGTATATACTTTCAATTTCCCCATTGAGTTATCCCTCGTGGAAGAATTTTGCTTTAGCCTTCCTACCCAGCCCTTATCTGGATGGAATTTAATCCCCATTTTAATTTTATTCCTCATTGGATGATGTCTTGGTTAACTGTTCCACTCCAGTTTGTTTCTGGCTTAAAATTTGGTCCTCGATGGCAATGTTATTTTGATCCCTATAGGTTGTGAGCCCTGGATTGAGAATATGAATTTATTTTACACATGAGGATGTTATCTTCTCAATAGGAATGTATTGGCATTTCCTCATGAAGTCAAAATTCATTTCCCAGCAGTGTTATTGCAATCCCTTTCATAGCGGAAAATGATGGTCTCTTTACTTGAGTAATCTGTACTTCCCTAGTAAGCCTGTTAATGCCAAAGAAGATTAGTTTACTCCAATGGATGGTAGTCTCTATATTGTGGGAGATAGTTCGTTATTGAGATTGGCTTTACTCCAATGAAAAAAATAGTTTATTGAAAGATCTTTACAACAGTCAATACCCTTTTCAAGTGATGTCTTAATCAAAGAAGAAATTGTTACCGTTCTCGGTGAAATCCAGAGATTGGTAAAATTGTTACCCTTTCCAGGCGAAATGCCTCGGTTAAAGAAGAATTTGAGACCCGTTCTAGGTGGAATACCAGAACTTTGGGAAATTTGTTATTGTTCTATGTTTTTTCTACCTTCAGCCCTGAATTGGTATTTCACAATCATTCGTTAGTCAGTATTTACCTCTTTATCCTCATTAGACTTTACCACAATAGAGTCGAGTTGTTTCCAGTCATGAGTACTGATGTCAATCTTTTGTTTCTAATCCTAAGTACTAATGCCAATCCTTTGTTACCGTTCATAAGTACTAATGTAAATCTTTTGTTTCCAGTCATAAGTAATAATGCCAATCCTTTGTTACCAGTCATAAGTACTAATGTCAACCATTTGTTTCCAATCATAAGTATTGATGTCAATCCTTTGTTACCAGTCATAACTACTTATGTCAATATTTTATTTCCAATCATAAGTACTGATGTCAATATTTTGTTTCCAGTCATAAGTACTGATGTCAATCCTTTATTACCAGTCATAAGTATTGATGTCAATCTTTTGTTTCAAGTTATAAGTACTTATGTAAATCCTTTGTTACCAGTCATAAGTACCGATGTCAGCCATTTGTTTTCAGTCATAAGTATTGATGTAAATCCTTTGTTACCTTTCATAAGTATTGATGTCAATATTTTGTTCCCAGTCATAAGTACTGATGTCAATCATTTGTTTTCAGTCATAAGTAATGATGTCAATCATTTGTTCCCAGTCATAAGTACTGATGACAATCATTTGTTTCCAGTTATAATCACTGATTTCAATCATTTGTTCCCAGTCATAAGTAATAATGTCAATCATTTGTTCTCAGTCATTGTAGCAATTGGTTTTTTTAATCAAGAGTCACCACTATTAGTTTTTATCCTAGGGTAGGGAACCTAAAAGAAAACCATAATTCGCGGACAGAGATTCTAGGTCATTGACTCAATTGGATGAAAGGAAGGTGTTAGGCACCTTTCATCCACCTTGTTCGTAAGGATATTAAGCTCTAGGTTTAGGTTTGGGGTAAACAGGGCTTTAAGTTTTAATTAGCAAGACTCGCCACGATTTTAGATCGAGTGCCTGCGTATCCTCTTGTGAGGAATCAGAGTCTCAATTCGTAGTTCGTATTTTGGTTGGTGTTTTTTATAGGATCGCGTAGAGTTGTTTTTGAATTTATCCTTGAACCTTGTCTGGGTTTTGAAAGGTGAGTGATTGTAGACGCGGTTCGCAATTAATTTGAAATAATTCTCCTTAATCCTTTTTCGAAAATAATCTTGGGTTTTGGTTATGTTAGTAGAAAAAATAGTTTGTAATTGGTTAGCTGTTTTGGTATTTGATTTGATTAAGACGTGGGGCGGGGAGTCTGATATAGTCTCTTCACCACGCTGTCAGATATTGACTTCGTGCTGCTCGATATGAAGGACGTGGAGGAAGTCTTATATAGTCTTCCTCACCATATGGCAACGTGTTGCGCGCGGGTGACATATTTAATGAATTGCGTGCATGTTGATTTTTTATAAATATTAATCAATTCAGTTTATGAAAGAGGCTCGAATTAATGCAAGGAAATTATTTTTATCATTACTATTATTATTTTATTCTATACAATAAAAACTAGATTAACAAATTAGTTAAATTAAGTTAACTAAATTGAACAAGTAAAAAGAAATAATTAAACTTACATTAAAAGGAAGAATGCATAAGTAAAAGAATGTTGGATTAGCAAAAAAAATGGTGAAACTTTAGGCCCAAACCCCAAATCACTAAAGCCTACTTTATATAACAAGAAAATTATATAAAAAAGAAAGAAAAAAACTCACATGGATTATAAACGGCGCCGATTGAAGAAAGATAAGGGAGTTGAATTCTCCAACGTATTTCTCCCTCCACTCATACGCTGACACGTGGCAATATTTATTTGAAAAAATAAAAGAATAAAGAAACAAATACATAACAAAAATAATAAAGACTCAAATTGCATATCTCTTTTTCCTTTCCTCCACCGTAACCTCTTATACTCTCTCCCAATACTCTCATTTTCTTCTCTTTATCTTCTAATCTTCAAACGTCCAAAACCCAAAACATGTGATAACAACACAATCAAAGTCAGTTAAAAGCATAGAAAGAATACGTTGAATGGCGGCGATGTTGGAGTGATGTGAGGTTTCGCGATGAATGGGTGAACAACGCGGTGATTGGCAACAGTGACGACCGGGTTTGCAACGATGCATCTGGGGTGCACCAGAGTAGGTCGACGGCTGCGGTCTGGAAGCCGTTGGTGATGGTGGCGATGGGATGAGATCGGAGAGATCTGCGACGAGTTTGTGAGTGGAAGGCTTAGATTTAGGAGTGGTGGTCCGCAGCCGGTAACGCATGGAATCGGCGGAGGGAACTGTTGGTTTCTCGATGGAGGAGGCTTGCGGATCTGGGCAGCGGTCTTGTGTGTGGATATGCTATGGCGTGCTGTGAAGTCAGAACGAAGGGTCGGCGATGGTGTGACGGTGGTTCCGTTGAGAGCGGAGGCTGTTAGCGGCTAAGACGCACGAGTCGCAAGGGTCGCGGTCAATTTGAATGATGCAAATCGACAGTTGTTTCTTCTTTTTCTCCTGCAAAACAGTCAAGGACAACAATACAAAGTTTTTTTTCCAGAATTTTTATATTCTATTTGCTTATTGTGTTTGTTTGTTTCTCTTTTCGTTAGTTAGCAATTAGAAGAAAAAAGTGAATCATTATTTTTCTTTGATGATGTTGATATTTTTGGTTTAGAGATAAAGGTTGTGAAGAGAATTTAGTGATGGGGTGAGTTTTCAGTGAAATTGAAACAAGCGGAAAAAGATGTAGAAACTTAGGAATTTGAAAGAGGAGGCCAGGTGGTTTGACTCAAAAAGAGAAGTGGACTCTAGAAAAACTACTAGAAAAATATGTGTAACTATGTGCAAAAAGTTGTAAATCCTTTCTGGAAATTGTGTGATGTGTGTATCTTACATGGAGTTTTTGTGTGTAGAATATTTAGCCTCAAAGAAATCAAACAATGGTTTGACCGAAAGAAAATAAGGATTTGTATTGTTTGTGTGATAGTGTGAATAGTGGCCTCTGTTGTGTTAACGTGAATCGAATTGTTGGCCTCCAAAATTAATAAAAATATAATTTATAAAAATAAATTACCATCAAATAAATATCATGTGGTGTTTACAACAGAAAATAAACAATTGAAAATCAACAGGAGGCCTCATATATAAACTCTTGGCCATGAATAAAGATAAAGATTATACTAAATAATATTGAAAAGAAAGAGAAATTTCTATTGAACTCTGATATAGTCAACAATTCTGATATAGTCAACAACCCTAGAATTTTGTGTGTTCGTGCATGATTGATGAGATTATTGTCTTGTATTTCTGGATGATTGTGGATGTGTGGAAATTGTGAATATCCCCCCTTTGTTGATAAGTTTTGAGGGTTATTTATAAGTGAAAAAATTAGGTTAAAATCCAAAAAAAAAGGAAGTATCCAACACCCAAAGCCCAAATTCTCATTTTGGCCAGCAGGATTAAGAATCTGGACATATTTGCGCCCAGGTGCAAAATTTGACATATAGCAAAATTGATCTGGAACGATTTTATTTATTTATAAGATATTTTGACTATTTTTTAAATAAAACTAATATTTTAATAAAAAATAATATTTTCAAAATATAATAAATAAATAAATACGAAAACAATAATTTAATAATAAAAAAATATGATTTTTATGGTTTAGAAAATGAAAATAAAGTTAGTAATAGTAAAAATATCCAAAGTGCACTGAGTGAGATTTGAACATGTGACCTTCTACTTGTCGGTCTTTCTGACTTACAAATTGTGTTATGTTACTTATTCAAAAGTAAAAAAGCCAATTGAAAGTATATGACAGCAAACAATTATTATTATTATTTTTTTACAAAAATAAAAATAATAATTATATTTTCAAACAGACTTGAAAGCAAATTTTTTATTAAAAAAACTCAGAATGTTAATATAATTAAATCAAAGGAATTTTATATCTGTAACACCCGAATTCGAAAATAAGTTTGACGATAGCACTAAGGCGGACAAATTTGGGGTATGACAGTCATAATTACTGATGTCAGACATTCGTTACCAGTCTCAGTATTGATGTTTACCGTCATCTTTGAGTCGGTATTATCTTACTGTTTCTACCCTCATCCTTCGGATTGGTAGTTTATGATCCCCTATGAGTCGGCGTTACTCTTTTTTTCCTACCTCCTCTGTGAGTGGGTAGTTCCCAATTATCTATTAATATTTGTTATACATTGCTTTTTCCTCATTTATTGAGTTGATGATCCTTTGTCTCCTCTTTGGGCTTTACCCCAGTAAAGTTAAGTCTTCTTTTCCCCAACGGAGTTGATTTTCCTCCAATGGAGTTGAGTTTCTTTCCCTAGTCGAGTCAATAATCCTTCCTTAAAAGTTACCTCCTTGTTAGCTTGTTGCCTGCATTGTCAAGAATTTTCATCGTTGGAATCTTACCTTGCACTTTGATTCTTTAGCTGTGATTTTGGTTTTGCCTATTCAGAGTCATCCCCAGAATCATGTCGTTTCCCATTGATTTATTTTCTTGGTGGGACTCTCTTTATTAGGTTGTATGTATTATTTGTTTGCTTCCCTAGTGGTGTCTTGTTGCACCTGTGAAGTTTATCTTTTACATTCATAATCAAAGCATTACATGGCATCTTAGGGCCAAAAATAGGGTTTGTTATGTATTTAAGTATCTTCAATCGCGTCGAGACGAAGTTTCCAATATTCGTGTCTCTGGATAGAAGACATTTAAATAAGAGCAGTTGTTATACCCTAATTTCCCCCCCTAAGATCTTCTATTATCATATTATCACAATGCATCAAGATCACACATTAGGGTTGGTTCTCCTTGTTCCCATATCTTTAAGTTTGTTCTCAAAGGATCGCCAGACACCTTATTTGTGTATCTTGTATATATGTGTTAATATTGTTTTTTACTGACCTCTAATCAAAATACCAAAAAAAAATTCTTTTGTTTTTGTATATTTGTTTTTGTAGGTATCAAGCCAAGGCATCCAATCAAAAGAGCTTTTTGGAATTTTTCTCCTGCAAAAATCGGTTTCCCCATATCAATAAATAGGTTTCTCTCATTGATTTTGCTACTGGATTTTAATTTTTTCGCAGCACAAACTGGTTTCCCTATATGGAGAAACCAGTTTCTTGTGCGAATTTGGCAAGAAAAAAGAGGCAATTTTCAAGTTTTTAGCATTTGTCTCCAATGTCTTTTTTTAGGGAATATTCTTGATTACCAAATAATATATCCCCTACCTCATCATAATTAAATTACATCATACACCCTCATTTGATTACATGTACACCACTTGATTCAATTTTTTACTCCAAAAATCAATTATCAGGCCTAATTTTGGTTTCAAACCAAACTCCAAACCATCAGTAATTCCAAGCCTAAATTCTATAAATAGAACCCTTATTTCATTCATATATCAAGCTTTTGATAGCTAAAATCATCTTGCTAAAAATTCTCTCAACTTTCTTCATCCACCAAATTCACTCAGCTCCATTTTCATAAAAGTTAGTAAGCTTTTCATTGAAGCTTACTAATCTTTGAGCTAAACCTTCATCCATACACTTTCTCTTCATTAATTTTGTATATCCAAGCTTAGGAGATTGATTCTTGGAGCTGATTTTTGAAGTTGGTTTGATAACTTTCTAGTTTCATCTTTGGTAAGTTGGATCTTCATCTTTCACAATGTAATCTCTTGTTGATCTTTGTGGTTTAATTCTTTGAGCTACTTTTTTTTATTCCATTGGTGTTAATTCCTCATGATTTAATGGAATTTTAGTGCTCAATTAAATCCAAGATCATAAGGTGTTTGATGAAATGTGTGATCAATAATATTCTCTTTGAAATGCTATTTTTGAAAATATCACAGCCGAAACCGGTTTCCCTGTTTGGAGAAACCAATTTCTCTCACTATTTTTGCACCAGATTTGAAATTTCATGCAGGAAACATGTTTCCCATTTTTGGAAATCGGTTTCCTGACAGCATAATGCAGTTTTTTGCCTTATTTTGGGGCTATTTTGATTTCTTTTCTATTTTCTACTATTTTCTTTTTATTGTTGCTTTGGATTATAATTTTAAATTTCACATTTCTCTTCAAATTCAATGGATTTAGGATGTAGATGAAGTTGGGTAGACATTCAGTAGTTCAAATCTATCTTAGAGTGAATTATTTAATTCATTATTGGTGCTTTAAATTAGTGATTTGATTAGTACTTTAATTCATCAATTATGAGTGATTGAACTTCAAGAAGAAATAATTTTGATGATGTGATCCAAATTAACTTCTCATTCCCATTTCCCTCTTCATCTTGTCCCTTGCTTCTTTATTTTTGTTTTTTTACTTGTGCTACATGTTTTAGGAGCTTGGTTTTTACCATGTCTCTAACATGCATAGCACATACATTGCTATTGACCGACCTCAAAATAGGTGTGGCTTCTACATAAGTCCACTTAAGATTGCTTTACATAGCGTTAAATTTGTCCCTATTAGAAAAATGATCATTTATGGCACAAACTTTATGTTTGAAAGCCCAAGTATAATTGATTATTGTATTTTGGTTCAAAACCTTTGAAGCTTGTTGTTAGGAGGCTTTGGTCTTATTAATCCTCTAATAATCCTTCATCAACTTTGGCCTAAGTTCGATCTTCAATTATCATTGATCATATGTGCTGGCTTTGAGTACTTGAAATGAATGATATACTTGACAAAAATCAAATGAAACTTGTTGTTGGGAGGTTTTGATTTTATCAATCCTCTAATGAGTTTTCAAAAGCAAGCTTCAAGATGGTCATTCAACTATCTTTTTGTTATACTTGATTTCTAACTTTTAACTCACTAACAATTAATTTTACTTTATTCATTTATTTTATGTCTTTACTTTATATCATTTACCTTTAAGCATTTACATTTCAAGTCATTTTTTCTTTGCTCACTTGAGCATCTTTTTTTTTCATTGTTTTTTAATTATTTTCTCACTTGAGCTTTCTTTTTCTTTTTAAGGCGCTTAATAATAAACTTGAACCTAAAAAAAACTTAATTCTTTATGGATTATTTGGTTACTATCCCTTTCCTATTGGAGTTGTGGATCTCTCAGACCCAGGATTAGAGGCCTTGATACTTGGAGACTTTGAGGCTCTGTTGTTATTTTGTATGAAGTAAACTCCAAGAAATTGGGTCGATTTTATTTGTGTGCAGGTTATTCTTATTTTATGTTTTATATGTGATTGGAAATTCCTCTGTATACAGTGGTTACTCTGCCCAATTTTTGTGAATAC